ATGAAGAAGATGATGAATGACAACGCCTTGGTTCGAAGGCTGTCTGCATGTGAGACGATGGGATCAGCCACAACCATCTGCACTGACAAAACAGGCACTCTTACCATGAATGAGATGAAGGTTACAGAATTTTGGCTTGGTCCAGAAGCAATGACAGAAGAGAATCAGTCAGAGATAGCACCACCCGTTCTGCAATTACTCCATCAGGCTGTAGGCTTAAACACAACTGGCAGTGTTTGTATACCGAATTCTTCACCCGTCCCTGAGATTTCTGGTAGCCCAACTGAGAAAGCAATACTTTCTTGGGCTGTGTTTGATTTAGGAATGAATGCTGATGAAGTGAAACAAGGCTGTCAGATAATCCATGTTGAAACTTTCAATTCGGAGAAAAAGAGAAGCGGTGTTTTGATAAGGAGGAATAGTGAAAAGGCAACTGAAACCCACTGGAAAGGAGCTGCTGAGATGATACTGGCCTTGTGCTCAAATTATTATGACAAGACTGGAAAAGTAAGAGCCATCAGTGATGAAGAAAGATTGCATGTTGAATCAATTATTCAGAACATGGCAGCCAAAAGCTTGCGGTGCATTGCCTTTGCTCATAAAATTTCTGAAGAAGAGAATGGTGGTCAGGTTCATGAGAAGCTTGAAGAAAGTGGGCTGACATTGTTGGGTCTTGTAGGTTTGAAGGATCCGTGCAGACCTGGAGTTCGAACAGCAGTAGACGCTTGCAGAGCTGCTGGAGTGAAAATTAAGATGATAACCGGTGACAATGTGCATACTGCAAAAGCTATAGCTGTTGAATGTGGGATACTGAAACCAGAGGAGGATCTGGAGGATGAGTCAGTTGTAGAAGGTGTCCAATTTCGAAATTACTCACCTGAAGAGACAATGGAAAGGATCGATAAGATTCGCGTGATGGCAAGATCATCACCATTTGATAAGCTAAAGATGGTTCAGTACTTGAAGCAGAAAGGCCATGTGGTTGCAGTGACGGGAGATGGCACGAATGATGCACCTGCCCTAAAGGAAGCAGATATTGGGCTTTCAATGGGGATCCAAGGCACTGAAGTTGCAAAGGAGAGCTCAGACATTGTGATATTAGATGATAACTTCACTTCTGTGGTGACTGTTCTGAGATGGGGCAGGTGTGTCTATAACAATATTCAAAAGTTCCTTCAGTTCCAGCTCACAGTAAATGTTGCTGCCCTTGTGATCAACTTTGTCGCCGCTGTTTCGTCTGGCAAAGTTCCATTGACTGCTGTCCAGTTGCTGTGGGTGAACCTTATAATGGATACATTGGGGGCTTTAGCTTTGGCCACTGAACAACCAACCAACGAACTCATGGACAAGAAACCAGTGGGTCGAACGGAGCCACTCATAACCAGAGTCATGTGGAGAAACCTCTTATCTCAGGCTTTGTATCAGATCACCATCTTGCTGACTCTACAGTTTAAGGGAAGATCCATCTTTGGCGTGGATGAGAAGGTGAAGAATACCCTTATCTTCAACACTTTTGTTTTTTGCCAAGTCTTCAATGAGTTCAATGCCAGGAACATGGAGAAGAAGAACATATTCAAGGGGTTACTCAAGAACAAGTTGTTCTTAGCAATAATTGGCATCACCGCAGTTCTTCAAATAGTGATGGTTGAACTTCTGACGAAGTTTGCAAGTACTAAGAGGCTGAATTGGGGGCAATGGGGTGCTTGCATTGGGATTGCAGTGATGTCTTGGCCGATTGGTTGGCTTGTTAAGTACATTCCTGTTTCTGGATAGCAGGTTTCAAGGCATATATAGTTCCTGAAAAATTGTCAAACAGATAGAAACAGACTAATTCTTTTGTTGCTCTTTTACTATTCATATTTTTTTCAGTAGTTTCTCAAAGAGATTTTCTCAATCTAGAATTAGATATATCGGTAAATGATGATGTAACTAGTTATAACTTACAACATCTTCAGCTCAATGATGCAATTCTCTTCTTTTTTATTTTTTTGTCACACTGACGCAGTTCTTTTATGGAACGAAAAAGTAACAATTCTTGCTTCAGCCCTTTTGTTTGCTACATTACAATCAGAGGAGTAATTCCTAACAAGAAAAAGGAAACAATCAAAGCAATAACAAAGCCAAGAAAAAGAATGACTTGTTCCGTTGATCATTATATCTTTTCCGGCTAACAATCTGATGCAGAACACTCAATTGAATGAAAAATAATTTAGAAAATACATGATCAACTTAACCAAAGGTTTTCAGGTAAGGTATTATGAAGTAACCATTTCGAGTCGTGCTATACCAGTTGCTAGCATTTTGGCATTGCACACAGAAGCAGCAGAATCCGAATATATAGTCTTTGTAATACTACTACTATATTCATCCCTGAAAATATTAACCACAATGGCTTGAAGGATGCAATTAGTTCAGTTTTGAACAATTTAGATCATGGCTACTAAAGCTTTCTAGTGCATGATCTTTTTTTCCGCTGTTCGTGGTTCATATCGAACGTCAAATTCGCATAGCTGAGCTGCCCTGTTTGGAGCATACCTATTTCCAGCCAGCAATTTCGCAGCTTCCCTAGCTAAGAGTTTTATGCAATTTAAATCAGATTTTCCAATTTAGCTCTAACATAATTATAGTCTCACTTCCGGATATTGTTGTGAAAGATTTGTAAATCTTGACACCTCCCCCACTTCCCACCCCTAAAAAAATAAACAGAAAATACCTGAAATTAACTTCAAAGACAGTAACAGACAAATTTAACTACTTTCTCGCATTTTCCTTGTAACCAAACAAAATCTTTCACATTATATAACATTTGGTAAAGTTTTAACATGGTTCTGATGCGTGTGAAAAAAGAACCCATTACTGTGTTAGAACTAATTTAATAGAATAATAATTTGTTTATTCTCCTTATTAACTGATACAAATTTTATTTGCATTTTGAAATTCAATCTCCTTTTGCCGCTAAAGATATGCATAGCATTTTAGATTCCTATTCACAAGGAGCAATGTAAAATCGGAACTTCTACACAGACAGAGTAAAAGAGGGAATAAAGTAAAGTTAGGGCAAACCTCCGATTTTGGTTTTAGCTGCCAATTTGTACTGTGAATCAAATGTTGTCTTCCCGGGTTCCCAGCGCCATGGGCCCTTGTGGTCCATTTTGTATTTAAGAGTAGGCAAAATGCTGTAATTTATCACTTTAGTCTCTGTAGTTTTAATTTTATTAATTTTTTCCTTGTAGTTTAAATGTCTTGCAATTCAAGGACATGTTACAAATTCGGTCAACTTCCTTCTAATTCCATATAAAATTCTATCCAAAATACCCCTCCACGTAGGTGATACGTACTTACTACGTCACAAAATTGGACAAAAATCTGAATGTGTCGTCTTTGAATTACGATGATATAAAACTATAAGGGTGAAATTGCCATAATCGAAACCACATGGACAATAATGGAAAATTCGGCAAACTATAAGGACTGAAAGTGATTTTTATCTTAAAAGTATAGGTGTCAGTGACAGATATGCAAAAAACAGCCTGAGCCGCTTCAACTGGTCAAATCAAATAAGTTCAAACAGTTTGGTCGAATTTATACCTACAACTGTAATTTTGTACCGAATTAAATCAAACCTTAATTAGTTTGGTGTGGTGTGGTTTGGTTTAGTTCGATTGGGCCTTGTTGAAAAACGTTTAAATCAAACCAAACTGCCAAGAATTTTTTTTCTTCTTATATCTTATTGATTAACCAGTGCATATCGATATAGATCCACCAAAAATGGGAGAACAATGAGGATATGATGGGATCCAGGGGAAAACCCCCGAATTTGAAACTTTCTCTCTCTATCTTTTAGAGGTTTTTTAAATTTATGGTATATTTGTTTAATTTATTATTAAAGGAAACACCATACCAAATTGGTTTTTAGATAGATAATTATACTACTAGTACGAGGCCAACTAAACTATTCCAAACTGTGATATCGCCTCTATGAAAAATATAAATATAAATATATACGTATAAATGAAATCCAAAAAAAAATAGGTAGATTATTATTCACCAAAAACCTAGGAGCTGCAATGAAGTTTCTTGCATCATTTATGCATGCCCTTACATCAACTGACTTGCTTGATTGAATTTTCTGTTGAGAGTGTTTATCCCATGTTGAAAAGTTAAGGAATTTAGTATGAGTTTATAAGGAGTTGGGCTACTACCCCATTGCTAATTGGTTTTAGGATGGAACCTCAACTTCCTTCATTTTCATCTTAATAAAATTAACACTATTAATCAATATTTAATTATATTATATTTTCCAATACAGATTCCTACATTTTCTTTTTCCTAAACATATACCCATCACTCTATAAATCTATGTGTAAAACCCAATTTCAAATTTAAATGACCAGTAGAATATAAGAGGTCATAGTATTCCTATGTTTTTACATCGTTGTCACCAGACTTCGTATTGTATTTATAATTTATTTCAAGCATTTCATTAACTGTCATAATTGTAATTAATACTCCCTATTAATAACATATCAATAACCCCATTTCTTTTGGTTGCCATGCCCTTAACATATCGCCCCTAAAATTGCAAACCAAAAGAAGAAAAATCTGTAAATTACATATCCAATAATGTACCTATGAAAAATCTATATATATAAAGCAAAAGGCAGAGAATGGTGAAACATTCAAAATACCAGAAAATGCCATTGGTTAACGCAAACATTAAGAATTGAAATTATTAATTAAATGAGGATAATATGGTAAATTCACACTTTTTCATATTTAAAAAAATTAAAATTAAAAGAAAAATCAGATAATGGATCCTATTTTTATGGAACACAACTACCCATTATCTTTTTT